ATGATGATGATGATGATGATGATGATTATTATTATGATGATAATGACGATGATGATGATGATGATGATGATGACGATGATGATGACGAGGATGACGAGGATGATGATGATGATGATGATGAGAATAGTGTTGTTAATTGTGATGATGATGATGAAGATGGTGTTGACGATAGTGATAATGAAAATGGTGATAATGATTATGATGAAGATGGTGTTGATGATGATGATGACAAAACAAACCGGCGGGAAAAACGGAAAACTGGCCGTTACTAAAGAAGTGTGGTGATGATGATTTGAGGAGATTGTTGATCGTAGCGTAACAACCACGCATGCATGTTTTCATATATTTTTGTATGTATGTCTGTCTGTCTGTTTGCGTATGATTAGATGTTATGTGTGTGTGTGTGTATGTGTGTGTGGTGTGTGTGTGTGTGGTTTGTGGGGGGAAAGATCCGGTATTCAAATTCGTTGAATATAACGCAGAGATTCGGCAGTAAAACTAAAAACCAAATCTCTCGATTATCAAATAAAGTTTGAGTTTTAAAATCTAATTGGATATTTTCAACTACGAATTAAAAAGAGAAGTTTTATAAACATCTTTGAATGGCCTGTTAACTTTTTTAAAGGTACGTTTGCAACTAAAGCATCTTTATTTTTTATTTACGTGATGAAACGGTTTAACTTAAATGGCCAAATTTCCAAGTGCTCTGAGTTAGGATAAAACTTGATTTGAGGCCCATTTCTGGAGGTGTATTTTTTAGATAAAGACCCTTAGTTATCCACAAATGACCGGTGCTATAGTTTCTATTATTGGCTCTGTGTGCGTTTGAACCAAGTAAGCATACAACCACAATAGGAAATCTAGGCATAAAATTTGCTGACCAGAATTAAAATTATTATTATAATTATTAATTACCATATAACTCATTTTCAAATAAATAATATCAACACTTATTTATAATATTTTTATATAGGATACGTAATTTTTGGTATTTCAAAAAGGTTAAACTGAACAAAAATTAGTAAATCAAACGATGCATACCGCCCTAATTAACCTGAACCCACCCTCGAAAACCTTAAAATGGACTCTCCCAAAAATGTTACGTCATTATGTTATCGCGGAGTCGGCATCTTAATGCATCTATTTTTGACTCCGTTCTTAAATAAGTGTGTGTGTATGTATGTGTGTGTGTGTGTGTGTTTGTGTGTGTGTGTATGTGTGGGTGTGTAAATATATGTTATTATTATGAAGAATAGTTTTTTTTTAATTCCATTTATTCACAAAAAAAGTGAAAGAGTCAGCCTAGCAATAAATGCTTATCTAGGGTTGACTCCCATAAAACAAGAAATAACATAGTAAGTAATCCAAAATAAAAACACAATAACATAAATGAGTAAAATAAATGTCTTTTAGATTCTTCAATGTTCTTAAATTTTCATGAATAAACTTAGAAATAAAACATTGATAAAATGAATAAAATTAAAAATAAAATATTAATACATTTAACTTAAACAATTTAAAATTTGAACTGCAAATCTAACTTTTAACTTTTTTGTGGTTATTTTTGTCTTTTTCTAGAGTAAAGTGTGAACTCTTCTTGAACATCAGCGAACTGTTTGCAAAAATATCCTGGTAGTTGCGTTGCAGCAGGCGTTTGTTGCTGCTGTCGTCGTGGTTTTCGTTGATGTTGTGGCTGTTGTTGCTGATGTTGTTGTGTTTGTTACTAGCATTGTACGCTGTTAGCGCAATAACGGATGTCGAGCAGTAGAAGCCGCCAATCGGTGACGAAGATGAAGGCTGTTTTTGTCGTTGTTGTTGTTGTTGCAGATGATGGTTGGATGCATCTTCATGTTGATGATGTTTGCGTTTTGTTGGTCTATCGATGCTGCGATTGTTGTTGCTGCTGTTGTGGCTGTTGTCGGGAAAGAATGAATCTTCTTTGAGAGAAAAGTGGTGGCGAGATGTGGCCAGGGATGGGTAGGCGAGCACTGGCCACTCGTTCAAACCACAAAATGGAAAGTTAATTTTTTTAGTTAGTTCGTTGTTGTTGTTAGTGTTGTTGCTGTTGTTGCTGCTGCTGATATTGCAAAAGTTGATGTTGTTGAAGTTGTTGTTTATCATTATAGGCGTTGGTGTGGCAGTTGAAATTGAAACCGATGAGGGAGACGATGATTTGAGAGTTGATGTATTGACGTCGTTTGAATTGCTGTTGTTGTTGTCGTTGTTGAC